GACCTATATCAAATGTGTTTCAAAAATTTTTTGAAGTGTTTCAGAAATTTAAAAATACAAACATGGAGTATCTCTGGCTAGAAGATTGGAAGGGGACGGGGGCCTGAAATCTTCTATGTGTTAACATATGCAGTTTGTTTGGTACAGCTGGCCCACCAGCGTGGAGAGGAACACAATCGAATTTTGATAATTAATGAAAAATTGGAAACGATGCCATTTAGATCTCCCAAATAAGCAAGTCTGTATGTGCAGTGACTTGTTAGCCTGTCCTGTGTTTCATCCCTGAGCTGAATCCTCAATTCTAAGCACAACAGCACCACCAATCGCCATTACGCTACGACCGTAAACATGACATATACGAATTCTCTAAAGCAATAATACTTTTAGAAACGAAATTAATAAGCAAAATAGCTGACTTGTATATAAGAAATAGGATTCTTGGGCAGGCTTGCTTCACCCTCACCTCCTTCGCTCACCAGTTGTTCACCTTTTCGGCGAAGATATCTGCTAATGCAATCAGTCATTGTTGGGAGGCCTTTTGTCATTCGCTTCAATAACATATAAAGTCGGCGTAAATCTGAAATGAAAACACAATTCAAGCACTAACCGCAAAGAACTCCTCCCTCTCTCACTTTCTCACCTCCTCCCCCCTCCCCGCGCTCCTCCTCCGCCACATTCCTCCATTTCATTTCGGTCGATAAAGTCGTCTACATTCCTCCTCGGTAAAGCGAGCAAAAGATGGCGTGCAGAAGAAGCAAACAGCAATCCAGAATCGCACAGCAGATTGACCATTCGTTCCCTGTGATTTGTCCCGTCCTTTGTGGTAAATATGTCTGCGATTTTGTTGTAAAATTCAGTGTTCAGTGTTGCAGTCTTCAGCGTTCTCCGTCGACAGTGGTGTCGCTGCAGTTCGTCGTCCTTAGTTCAATCGACCCAAATTTAAACTATGAACTCGTTATTGTGTTGGTTATCCCAGCGTCTCCACCAGGCACAGTCAGCAACAATCGTCACTTCTCCAAGTATCGTCCAAATATCGTTGTACCATCGTCCGAACAATCGTCGTAACACTTCATCAGAACTGTATAAGTGCAGGTAGCACCTTAGTCTTGTTCCTCAGTTTCGTAACAATCGCGCATAATCTTTCGGTAGGCGGGGAGAAGAAAGCAGCGAAGGGGTGGGGGGAGGATTAAAGCATAATCTTGCTGAGTTAAATTAGTATTATTACAACGAAAATCAGATCTTTACCCTGAACGCGATCATTGTTGAGCATGTGTACAACACCACTATTCTCCATCTCAACTATCGTTAACATATGTTTGTTGATAAGTTCCTCATCCAGAACCTGCAAAAAGTGTTCCACCTCAGAGAGTATTCCACACGGTGACATTGTACATCATTTTATGAACAAATCTATGCAAAAATCACATCAGAAAGGATGAGCCACACCAGAAAGGATTAATCACAAATTCAACGGTTGTTCAGGTATTCTAGGCAATTAATCAGACTGAGACATAACATGATGATAAT